ATATCGCCGGCTAATGGCTGAGAAAATAACATCTAACAAATAATATCTATCAAATAATTTTTTGAAAAACAGAAAAGTAGGTGAAAGTAACCAGAAAGGTTTTTCAGATAAGATATTTTTTCAGATTGCTTTTTTGGACAAAAAAAGATCCATTAAAAGACCGATATAACGTAGCGCAAGTGGCGTTGTCAAAGGTATTTTTAAAAAAAAATCATTTTCTGGCAAAATCGGTACAGACAGCTTCATTAACATTTCAGTAGAAAACGGAGATCATAGTAGCGCTGTCTTAACTAAAAAATAAAAGCAAACACTTTACGGCTGGCTGGGCACTTCTGGCAGTTTGCCAACGACGATGTGGTGCGCATATGTTTAGCCCCCGAGGGTCAGCGATCTTCTTTGTGGCCCGAGTGACCGCACAGCTGACCTCTAAAGCCTCGATACTGAGGCTGGATAAGAGCCAGTGGTAGATGGAATCTATCTAATAAAGACCTCCCACTAGGCCGTATTGAAAAATAAAAAGAAAGCAAAATTTGAAAACGCTAATTGCGAAAGTTGGCTCTCCAGCTGGTTTCTGGCAGATTAGATATTTTGTTGATTTGGAATACCACTAAATTCTTAAAATTTCTGAAAAAAAAGGTTGTTTATAGCGCCACTGTATCAGTTGTTGTGGGTTTTGATTATTGTGGGTAATTTGAGATGATCGTCTTTATGATAGAAAAAAATTTATTCAAATAAATATACATATCGATTAATTAGAAAATGAAAGCTCCGCAGGGCGGCACTGCAAGTGTCGCCATTGTCGTTGCCTGAAAATGCATGTTTCGAAGCTTCGGGGCTATAATGAGAGATAGGCGAGAAGGAGAGAGAGAGAGAGAGAGAGAGAGAGAGAGAGAGATCACGAGAGAGATCGAGAGAAAGAGAGAGAGAGAGAGAGAGAGAGAGAGAGAGTGAAATTGAGAGAGCGAGTCAAGGAATCATTTTGAAATGCATTTGTGTATAAGGTTAGCTATTCGTATAAACTACGGTACTTTCCGTGGTTACCTCCTTACGAATCAACTATAAAATAAAGAAAATGTCAAGCACCATTTTTAACCGTCCAAGAAGTTGTTTTCGACTGGAATTTTTGAAAACTGGAAGGCAGCGCAGAGAAAGCTAAGCAAGTACAGAATTAAGATACGACATTTCGGCAACAAAAAACGCTTTTGCATTCAAATATGGGGAAAATCGATCAAGCGTGAGCCAACCAGGCGAAATCGTCAAAAAAGTGGACAGAAACCGCAGAAAAAGCATCTCCACACGGGGAGCAGGACAAGACAGGTCGAGGTCGAACTCCCCTCGGGAAACCCAGGAAATCCCTCCCCTCTACATTGCCTTGCAACTTCCCGAGAAAATCCAGCATTTAGGTTTCTAAATACTATTTTTACTTGATCTTTCTTGATTTGATAAATGCTTAGATTATGGTGATTTTCTCAAATCATTCTGATCTTTCCTGCCTTTTTAAAGGGCCATTGAACGCTATAAATCTTCGGAATTCACGAAAAATCGCGAAAACGTGTTTCCCAAAAGTTATTTCCACGCTTTGTATAATTGGTAGAAGTCCCAAAAATCTTTAAAATTACCACAAATCGGTTTAAAGCCGCTTTTAAAGGACCATTGAAGGCAAGAGTTAAACGGCAGCAACCGTTGAACTGAACAAGTCTATCCTCTTTAAAACCTTTAGTATCCTGAATCCTATAAGTTTGCCATACTGCCAATTTTGTTAATAATATCAATTCAATAATTTTGGAGGATTTGGTTGTCGGCATCTTATCGAAATGGAATTTTCAGAATTTCTTTTCTCAACTGCGGTGATTTTTTCCGAGTTGATGCCTTCTTGAAAATGGCGTCCGAGTTGCAATTTAATTTTGCAATATACTGTAAGTTCTATTAAATCATAATAGCTTCGGAATTTTGCGTTGGTTTTGATGATATTACATTCTATTTCTTTAGTGAAAACCACGTCAACTAACGACAAAACGAATCTTGAAGAACACTATGAAAACATTGGTAAATTGTAAGGTATGCCTTTGATATTTTGTTTATTATTCAAACAAAAACAACTGATCTTTATAATTAAAAGATTTGCAAATTAAAAGTTTTATGTTTAGGAATGAGGACGTCTTCGGGAAAAGAATTCGCTCTCTCGATCACTCCGAAAATAATTGGATGGAACGGATCGATTCGGAGCGTTCGTGGGTTGCTCCATTGCATTGAATAGAAGGATGACAGGAAAAATATTGTTGAAATTAATTTATTGTGAACTTGAAATGGACCACATTTTCATCCATTCTTTTCGAACCGAGTCCATTTTAAAATTTTATATGATAATGATTTGACGCGATCATTATTCAATCTTTAGGTTTTATCCGATTTCACGGCTTTTCTAAAACGCATTATTTTGTTTTGTTCATTAACCTTGCGCACTTTGCTTTGTAAAAACCAGCTGGTCGCTGGAGGGCTAAAACCACTCGCGGATGTGGAGGTAGACTTCGATGAAAAATGGAAAAGCCTAGACCGAACTTTCAACGGGAAATTATTGATTTTATCGATTTTTTTGCACATCATGTTGTTCCAAAAGCCTGGCCGTCGAAATAATCGTCGGTGTGGACATTTTCTTTTTTTATTGATCATAGGCATATGTTGTTCAAAAAAATGCTGAGCCTTTAAAAGCATATCATTGGAAAGATCCAAGAAGGTGATAACGGAGGACCTTATCAGATTACGTGGTTAAAAAACCGGATATCCCCGTGGAGGATGATGCCATTTAAGAGAACCCCCAGAATCACATTCATTAATTTTTCGAGAAAACAGGAGCATCAGATGCTGCACAACAGTTTGCATCAAATAGAAAAATTTATAAGAACAGAAATACGCAGTATTAACCGCATTCCGTTTTGCGAGACTGCTCAAAACGAAAACGACAACTAGCTAATCCACTGCAAGCCACTGTGCACAGACGAATAAAAAGAATATAAAAATTTTCTATGCGCATGAAAAGCCACGACGAATCACCTATCAAAAATTCATCATTAAACCCGTTTAAGCCCGGTGAAGCCGTAAAAAAGAGTTTCAGGGAAAAATAGGAGAAGAACACGACCTTTTCCATAAATTGACAATCGGACTTTTATAAACGCCGTGAGCCAAGTGTAACTATTCAAATCAGGAGGCTACCAATCCCTATAGACCGAATTATCCTGTTGTATACATCATGTAGGGTAAAATAAGGGATTAACAAAATTGCAAGCCAACATTACTCAATTTAGGAAATGCTGATTTTCGAAATGGTGACTTTCGAATTAGTGGACGGGAATCCAGTCAGCTACGCAGTATACAAATTCGACAAAAAAAATGCCCAACCTTCACAACGCGAGCGTTTGAATTTTTTCAACTTGTGTTAGGATTATACGGGTTCACCCGCTGCAATAAGTTAAGGTGTTGCTGTATCACACAAAAATTGCTGAATTTCTGCGGAATCGACAAACCAAAATGGCCAAAAGCAACACCAAATAGACAAGGGAACACAAGTCATTTAGTCCAGCCACCGTCTGTATGCACTCACTGGGCAATCCGCCCCACCTAGTCATGCTAAAATTCGCCAGCGGATTTAACAACAACTTTCCCCTATCACTGAGGGAAGGTTCGTTCCGCTGTTATTTAGAACTAGCACAACGAACTACACAAAAAGGGATAGAGGCGCGCGATCGCATGCCATCGCATGCACTACCTATCCGAAGAAGCCAACAAAAGATATATAATGTTAAAAATACAGCACCTCGCGTAAAAGCTAGGCAATGCCTGCTAAAGTTCAGTGACGCTGTTCGGTGATTCGACAAGAAAAAATGAAGCGAGCGAAAAATTTACAAGATATGAATTTAAACCTTGAAACCACCGGCAAAAACGCTAGTTTTCACAGCCAAACGAATAAATACGAAGATGTTCACCTTGGAAATCGTGCAGAGATGCATCAAAATCACAAGATAAACCTTTTCTTATATAACTAAAGTTTTCGCGCCGACCAGTGGGTATTAAACGACTTTTCCGCCGGTTCGATGTCTGTCCAACAATAAAAAAAGCAGGCTCGGAAAAACGGCGGAGTGCTAAAAAGGATTATAGAAAAATCGATATTTGAAATTTTTTTGATAACGACAAGCTTTAATAAGACCGCAGGACCAACGTCGGAGCCCCATTGATGGCTAAGAAAAGAGAAGATAATCTTCAGCATCACAAAAGACCTATTTGTTTTAAGAGGTGAAGCCGTACCACGAGCTTCCTTCTAGGCCCATGCAATGCGCAAGCCAAAACGATGAAAAAAGGGTTGAACTGACTCTCGAGACCGTTGACGCGGTCATGAAGGCGTTCAGGAGGAAATAGGGGAAAAGAAGCTAGAATTTTATCCTGCTATTTTTTAATCTTATTTAATTTCTTTCTGATAGAGTTACAAATCACTGCAATCTGCGCCTTATTCTAAACGGCCGACCACGTCACCGCAAACTGCTGCGATTCCGAGATCGTCATCAAGGACAAGGCCAGGCTAAAGAACCAGCAACCCTGCGTGAAGCAAAGCGCCGACATTTGAAACTCAGAAGGAAAATTTAATTTCGCACAAATGCGGATCGGGATTGCCCCAAGAGAGGGAGGCGATGTGACCTATGCTTAGAAGCGAGTTGTGCCGAGGTCGGTATTGATTCCACCTGGCCCCGTTGTGCCCAAAATCGACCACAACGCAGAAGCGGGGAGGAACCTACATCGCTAAAATGACGGGCGAAGCCAAAGAAACCAAAAAAGTAATGTGCTATTTCATAATTGTTGAAAAAAATCTCCAACAGCGCAGCCTAAATTATAAACATTATCGGCGTGCAAACCCTGGAAAAAAAGCAAAAAAAGCAGGTTGAGCAAAAAATCAGGAGAGCCGCACGGGGAACTCGGCACCCGACAATCCCGTTAGGCTTGCAGTGTAATTCATGTTAGCCACCAGTGGATGGACTCCGGCAAAAAACGATTTTCGGAATACGCATGGAGAAAGCTACAAGGTTGCGATCAGAGCTACGCTTGTCACGGATGGCTGGCAGCCTTATAGATTACAGATATCCCGGGGTCGCAGGGATAGCTGTATTCCTGGATCGAGTGGCGCCCACGATGCCCTCCAAGAAGAGTGGAAATGGATGGACGCGCAGAAAAGGAGCAGGTGCCGCGACAGTTGGGTCGCAGCCACCGCTCTGGGACTGAATGCCGCACGAGGCAGGCCTTACGCTGCACGAGCTGATCCAATTCATCCTTTTCAAGGATCGCGAATGTTACGATTGCGGCACTCCGGCAAAAAACCGATCTTCGGGATGAGGATGGAGAAGGCAACTAGGCTGCGATCGGAGCTGCGCCAAGCATGGAGGGAGAGGTCACCCGGTTTCGCAGGAATCGCCGTATTCCTCGATCAGGTGGCCCCCACGATGCCGTTCAAGGATGAATGGAAATGGATGGACGCACAGCAAAGGAGGATGTGCCGCGACAATTGGGTCGAAGCCACCGCTCTGGGACTGAATGCGGCGCGAGGCAGGCCGATTCCGCTGCACGAGCTGATCCAATTCATCCTTTTCAAGGATCGCGAATGTTGCGGGTGCTGGGGGGACGCTTTGATATAATCTCATGAAATTATGTAAAAACTTTCCACAATATAATACGCTCTATAATAAACTTCTTTTCCAAAGAGTAAATGTTGCGATGCATAGAAAATGCAGGGAACGAACAAAGGCAGGCAAAAACAGCACAGAAAAGAGCGAGCCTGAGGAGCCTAGAGAAAGAAAAGGGAAACGATGGTGTGATTGACCTCAGAACAACCACCCAATAATTATACCCCCGCCTCATCCCAATAAACTCACTATTCTATATATCTATAGCCACACTAAGAATCTAGCCAACCGACAAGCTAGTATTCTTTATAAGCGCAACCTAAATTATAAACATTATCGGCGTGCAAACCCTGGAAAAGTGAAAAAAACCAGGTTGAGCAAAAAAAAAACGCACCAGTCGATGGACTCCGGCAAAAAAACCATTTTCGGCATACGCATGGAGAAAGCTACAAGGCTGCGATCAGAGCTACGCTTGTCACGGATGGCTCGCAGCCTTATTGATCACAGAGATCCCGGCTTCGCAGGGATATTCTCTCTCTGCTGCCGTATAGGCGCTGAGGGAGAAAAAAGAAAGGAAACTGAGAAAGATAAAACTGAAAATCCTGCCACCGCCTCGACACCTCGCTGCGGCTTGAGTTCAGATTAGCCTAGGCTTGGAATGTACAACGAGGGACATGGCTCGGACGCAAGAGGGTAGCAGAAATCTTGTACCGCGGGCTGGCCGAAGCCGAAGAAATGTTAAAAATATCTTTTTTCCCGGATTATGGTGGATTATTGTGAATAACATTTTTTTGGCATTCCAGTCCAATCGGGTTCAGCAGAACCTAAAAAACAGAACCAGAAAGCAACCAAGCGCCAAGTCAAGGGAGCCCAATGACCGGAGAGCCGCAAAAGAGACAAAGAGCAGGAGGCATCCGGAGGGGTAGCAAAAACAGGCCAGCGAGCCAGGCGCGCCAAGGGGACACAAAAAGAGAAATAGGCAGGCCAGGCAAGCAATGCCGGCAGCCTAAAAATAAGGAAAAAGAAACCCCAGGGCAGTTCAGAAATCGTAGAAGAAAAAAGGCAAATGCCAAGGTTGAACAGAATATAAACCAGGCGGGTGCCATGGGAAACAAGCATCCAATCGTGTTCTACCATGGCGTCCGTCGACTTGACTCTGGAGACTGCTGAAGCTGTGAAGAAAGCGTTCAAGAGGAAATGGGAAGAAAAGAGGGTAACAACAGTTGCCGCTTCCGCTTAAGAAACGCTTCCGCTTTCAGATTGAGAAGCAAGCAACCGCGAACTGCACTGCATGCGAAAAAAACTGGACACGTTGCAGCCAACTGCGGAGACTACGAGATCGACATCAAGGAGAAGTTGGCCTGTCTAAAGAACAAGCAGCAGTGTGCCAGGTAGCAGCAGATATACAGGAACTAAAGCAAGATTTCTTTTAAGATGCGGAGGCGGATGCCCCAGACGCGGAAAAAGGTGCTTCGCGGTTACCGAGCGGGCGTTTCTGGCAACTATCGAGCGAAAAGGAGCTGTCCTTCCGGTCAGCTCCGGGGAATGTAAGTAAGAGAGAGGGAGAAAGAACTAGTAAAGAACTACAAACAGAAAGGTCTGCGAAGGTCCTTTCCCGAAACGGAGGTCCTCAAGTCCGAACCTTGAATTATATTATTATATTATACTTTGTCACTTATTTACGCCAATAAACACTTAACGTTATTTGACCACTGAAATAACCGTTAAAGCGTTCATGGAGGCGAGTTGTACAGAAGTTGGAATATTTCATCTTCCCACACTGCCCGAAGTGGACCACGACCCAACGCCTAGGAGGAATCTACCTTGACAAACCCGCCAAGAAGCTCAAAAAGCCCGAATGAAATTACTGAGTGTATATTAAATACGTCGTGAATAAAAAATTTTTTTAAACAAACCAACAAGTATCGAAGAAAAGCAAGTTAACCATGATGAGGGAATTGCATAGGGATGTGAACACGAGGCTCAGCAAAAGGGCCTCGCAGCTCAAAACGGAAGAAATATCGAAGCCGTAGAGAAAAGAGAAAAACATTTCATGGAGAAGTAGATTGGGTAGGATATTGCGAACAGCTAAAAATACTAAAAACATACACATTACCGAACTAATTGATGATGATACACACAATGCCTTCATTCTCCGCGTAAGACAGCAAACCCCCAAGGTCTCAGGGCAAAATGATGCTACTAATATAACCCTCTCGTTTAAAACACTAACCCAATGCCACTACTTGGCAACAAAGCAACACCCCGAAAACCGATGACTATGTCCTGGTCACGAAAACTTGTAACGGCACCGACTATACATTGAGTAAATAATCTAACTTTCTAGAATGGTCGAAATTTAAGACTGTTCTATACAACCCCCATTGCCGCTTAGAAATGGGTCTTTCTTACGCTCCTAGCTAGGAGATAGCCTTGAGTTTTTGAAGCTACCCACGACTTTTACAAGATCGTCGTCTAAGTGGCCGCCTCGTTGGCTGATCATCATGAAGTTGGGGATGTAAAATTTTAAAGAGAAGTTACGTTTTAAAAATACACAAAGACAAACGACTATGCGCTCTTTGTTTCTTGTAAAAAAAATAAAAGCACCCTGCCCCTTTAAAACGGATAGCACAGAATTTTGCAATTTCATGAGCCTATCAAAAAATAGCCTTTAACTCCTAAAATTACACATGATAATCTACTTCCACAATATTCACTACAAAACCTACCGATTAAATTGAAGCGGCGTATTTAAAGTGAAAAAGTAAAGAAAATTAATTTAATTTGCCGTGACTTCACCGAGAAGAAGATGTTGCGCACAGCTAAAAAACACGCGATACCAGGAGCAAGTGTAGACGTTAAAATTATATATAAAAGGCATAGCATCAAAAAGTCATCTATTACCAGAAATCCAGACCGTCATGGCGACGCTGGACGTTGTGAGCAAGGAGCCCAGCTTCCAGCAGGCCCATTAGCTGGAAGTGAAGATGAACTAGCCCATATATCGTGTGCTCCGCCCAAAACGACAGAAAAAATCAGTGCGCCAAGGTATTACTTTTCATTTCAGAGCTCTAACAGTATATAAAATAGTAATACGACCTGCATCGTGTATAAAATCGATAAAAATGGTAATTCCCATGAAAGTTCGGCTCAGACTTTTCCATATCCTATCGGGTTTTAGCTTATACCGCCTCTGTTTTGGCGGCCAACTGGTTCTCGCAGTATTTTTTAATTGTGCCTTGATTGGTTTGATCATTCTATTTTTATGTTTCTAAGTTTTCGATTTCTTAATGATGATAAAACGTAATAAGCCAAGAAAAACAACACGCCCGTTTTATGCAAATTCAGGGCGAATTCGAACACGCAATGAAAGGCAGAAAAGCTCGCTCAGCTTGGCAAGACGGTTAATGCAGCTTTTTTTTAATTTTAGCCATCCGTTGGTGCGTGTGTATTTTATAGGTAAGTGTGTGGATTTACTGCCTACATTATATTTCATTGCAATCCAATTTTATTAAAAACATTTCATCAAAGTAGCAAGGTCGCTGACGCGCGACTTTTTCCGCCCGGGGTGTGCTGAAAAACAAATATTATCTCAATAGTTAGCATGTTTTCATTCAAGTTATAGAATTTTAGCATGAAGCTAAACTAAGTTAAATTTTTACAGTTTTTGTGCTTGGTGCTCGAATCAAGACGGCTAAATGACTTCAGTAAAGTAAATAGGAAAGAATCGTGTGATTTAGCGAAATATGCAAGTAATGTTTGATAATTAAACGCTTGTACGGAATGCTAAAAAAATTAGCGAAAATTTTAGCTAAACCAACTTAAGTGAGTTCAGGGGTAAAAAAGATGTCGGCTTGCAAAGTAAATTCTTGAATTAAACTCTACAATGCCGATCACGGATTTTAAAAAATGTTCAAAACCCTTACAGGAAGTTCTTCCAGCATGGGATTGTGTGTGATCAGGCATTCCCGGTCCATTTGCCTTCTATCGTTCTGAAAAAATAATGGTATAAATGGTAATAAGTTAACGTATTTTTCCTAAGCATATTTACACTATCATTAATACAGATACTTGTGGTATTCACTAGTGATGGTATTATTCAATTCTCAAATCTAATTTGCATCCGCCAAACCAAATCTGCCGATTTGATTCGAATAAGCTTTCAGCACTTCCAATCAAATCGATTTGATTTGGACTTTCGGGGTTTGAGTTCAAATCTGAAAATTTTTGAACGAGGATTTGAAAGGAGTCGAAAAAATCGATAGCTCATTACACGTATGCTAGTTTTATGATGGTGTGCCTAATCAAGGTTAGTTCCGGTTCGCGCAAGCTCGGCCCAAGCGATTTTCTGATGTTTTGCATGCCGGCATCTCAATAAATTTTGATTAAAGGCCGGAAGCTTAATCCATCCTTAGGATTTGATTTGAACTCGTCCACTGGGTTTCAAATCAAATCTGTCGATTTGAAATTGAAATTTTTGCCTTCAAACATTCAGATTTGAGCTCTCAGATTTGACACAAGATTTGATTTGAATAACCCCATCACTAGTATTCACTAAAGTTTAGGAAAGCTTACGTACCTTTAAAATTTGTGCCTAGCCTCCTCGAGTTCCCTGGCTCCTTCTTTTCGGCAGCGCCGTCATTCCGAGCTCGGGCAGGGGAGTACAGTTCCTTCTCCTTCTGGAAAATTTAATTGGCAGGCAGCAGTTGATTACACATCACAGTCGGGCAGTCCTAGAGTCCTTAAAGGGGCTCGGAGGTCGAAATTCGTGCGTGCTTGCGTTTGATTGAACTTACTGGCCAAAAACGAAAGGCTCCCTACCGAGAAGCAGGGACGTAGCGTAAGGTGGGCCCCCTGGGCCCGGGCCCCCCCCCCCGAAATCTTATGATTTTTATTTTCTCAAAAATTTTGCTGCCTGCGGCGCTAATTTTTCACGTTTTTGCTGCTATTTGTAGAGCTACATAGCCTTTTCTCTAAAATTTTTGCCTGCGGCGCTGTTTTCTAGTTAG